AAAAAACCTTGCTACGTGTACTGCGTTAGGCTAACTGAAACTTGTCATAGCACTTGCATATGATTGCTCTTTTGTTGATTTTGATTGCTTCCATTGTCCTCATTTGTAAGTCGCTTTGGATAAAAGCGTCTGCTAAATGACTAAATGTAAATGTAAATATTTAACAATGAGAAGTTGTCATTTTTTATTTTAAACAGGATATCTATTGTTGAATCGTTTTAATTTTAATGAACAATTATTAATCTTTTAGCAAAAAGTGCCTTTAAAGAGCCTTTATTTTGAACTTGTCGCTTGACCCGGATGTTGTATGAAACAATGGCACGCTGATGTTGCCTGCTTCACTCGGGATGTGTTATTGTGTATTGCCCCTGACTGTGACTGTCCTCTCAGCAGCACAAGAGCAGTAATATGCGACACTCGTTTGAAGTGAATTATTAACGGAAGACAGACGATTGGGGAAATAACCGTCAACATGGGGGATGATGGTATAGACTACAACATTGTATTTCCAGAGTCACTGACCTCAGGTAAGTGCTTTTCTGAGGCTGACAGCAGCTCTGGGTTGCCTTGTTGCCCAATTCCTTGCTCATATGAATGGAAGCCTGCAAGCTGTGTTTAAACCTTAATTTACAGATGTTGGAAAGCTTCAATAGGAATGTGGCACTCGTTTCACATACTGTAAGTGCGTATCACGGGATCCTTGTTGTTTGGACACATTATTCCTGTCTTGACAGAGAAACACTGGCGCGGATCAAAGGAGCCAGTCGTTATTCTGCTAGGCTGGGCGGGCAGTAGAGACAAACATCTCGCCAAATACAGTTCTATTTATAATGAACAGGTGAGACATTTTCCTATGCCCTGAAAACATACACATGTTGTCGTTTCTTCAATTATGGTCACTATTGGTCATGTGGGCTTTTAGAAAATAATCTCTCTTAAGCGCACTTTTCACACTCTCACTAGTATGTTTAATTTGTCTACAAATATGCACCACAGAGGAATTGTAATTTTTGTGTTTTTACAAAATGTGAGCATTTCCATTACAGTGTGCTTTTCACAACATTGTGTTATGAATTTTTGTTGTTGTTCATTAAATCATGCATAATATTTAATGTATACCAGATACCAACAAAGAAAAAATATTTTCACAGCTACATTGGAAATGATGCATATCTATCTATCTATCTATCTATCTAAATATAATATTTGTATATTATATTTTTTATTTATGTTAATCAAACATCATATGTCTCATGTTTCATATCAAGCATTATAACTTTAATAACTTTTGAGAAAACATCATTAGAAGCAGAATTGTGAGAGTCTATACTTGGTGTTTAAATGTTTTTTACTCAAAATAATTGTAATTTAATTATTTCACTCTTGGATCATCATAGGTTTAATATTAATTTTAATAATATTTAGTAATACTATAACCTATAACTTCTATGAGAATAGGTCCACATCACAGCTGTAATGATAATGACACGGAGGAACAATATCATTGAAATCACTTTCTGAACATTTTTTTCAGCTGATGAACAGTAAAAACATTGATAGCCAATCAGAATCCACCTAAGTTTAAGGATTTTGATCATTTAAAGCAGCAGATGATGTAACTTCAGTGCACGCTTATAATGAACAGAACATTATCATCTGTTAGTGTGGACTAATATAGATATACTTATCACTATGGTTAGCATTCTTTGTGTGAACAGGCCTTATGACATTAAAATCTGTGTAAATTTGCCATTTGAAAAAAAATCTAAGTTTTAATGTGACCTTAATCTAACAAAAAAGAAAAATATGAAATCTGACTATTTTATTAAAAGTCAATCCATTGGGACATAAAGGTGGTCGCCGTGATTTTGCCAAGTAAGACATGTTCCTGGATCAACATCTTTTGTTGATCCAGGATCAACATTACTGTACAAAAGTATAGACTAAACCCAATCCCTACTCCTAAACCTAACCCTACCCATAATTTATTCCTAAAATCAGTGTGAAATGATAGCTGATTACCAAGGGTGTAGAAGCACCTAACCCTGATCACAAGCCTAAAACAGATATTTCCTGAAAAGTTATCTCTCAATTCTGATTGGTTAATTGGAATGTTGATCCAGGAACATGTTGTACTTGGTGAAATCACGGTCACCCATAAAGGTGGACCATAGTTACACCCATGCATAGAGTACTTATAACAGCTTCCCTTTTCTTGGTAGGGATGTGTGACTCTACACTACATGGCTCCTTTGAAGACAGTTTTTATTTCAGAATCACTGGGCTACAAGGAACTAAGAAGCACTGCGCAAAAATTACTTGAACTTCTGTTTGACTATGAGGTGGAGAACAACCCAATTTTCTTCCATGTGTTCAGCAATGTGGGCTTCATGCTTTACCGCTACATCGTTGAGTTATTGCAAAGTCAAAATCAGTTCAGCACTCTATATGTGGTGGGCACGGTTGTGGACAGTGCCCCGGGCAGTCAAAATGTTATAGGAGAGCTCAGAGCACTCAAAACCACCTTGGGACCCAAAATCAATGTGCTACTGCAGTACTTCCTCCTGGCACTGTTTGCTGTGGCCATTTTCCTTCTCAGGATTGTTTTGTATCCTGTGACCAAGTACTTTCACAAGAACCACTATGATGCCATGATGGAGCACCCGGCACCTTGGCCTCAGATGTACCTCTATTCTAGAGCAGACCGGGTGATCAGGTACAGGGATGTGGAGAAGATGGTTAAAGTGTTGCGTGAGAAAGGGCTGACAGTTGAAAGTTTCGATTTCATCACCCCAGCCCATGTGAGTCTATACAGAGACTGTCCAGAGGACTATTCCAGCAGGTGCAGGACGTTTGTGACCCGTTGCATGAGTTCATCAGAGGAGACCATGATGAAAAAACACCTTCAAGTGCAACATTGATTATACAGTTCTTGACCAGCTTGTTAAAGGGGTCATATGATGCTGCTAAAAAGAACATTATTTTGTGTATTTGGTGTAATGAAATGTGTTTTATGCGGTTTAAAGTTCAAAAAACACATTATTTTCCACATACTGTACATTATTCTTCTTTCTTTGCGTGAACATTTGGGCGGCGCCCAATAGTGAGGTAGATATGTGGGGGCGTGTTAAAACGAGCCGTTTTAGGTAGGCGTGGCTGACTCTTAACTTTTATAAAGAATATCTCTTTGGATTTGAGACTTTAGTCTTTGCAACTTTACAGATCTTCTTTATGCACCAAGAGCTTGTAACACTCCAAAGAGAAAGGAAAAATTGAAATCGCATCATATGAACCCTTTAATATACACTGTAAATTTATATGTGCACCAACCATCATATTTGTGGAATAAAAGCACTGCTGTTTAATAAATTAAATTGTTCTTAAACCCAACATGAAATTTTAACAGGATTAAATTTGTATCCTAACCTCTATTGTATTTGTCTTATGCTGTGAATTAAACTGTAATTTAGGGGGTTATTGATTTGGTACATTATTGAGATTTTAGACATTGTGAATGTGAGTATGTTTGTGTATTTAGACACTGACTGAATAAAATAATGTATTTGACTAATGTGCCTTCCTTAAATAAAAGCTTCTGTTGGCTTAGCTTGATTAAAGTCAACATTTCCAAAGGGAAGTCAGTACTACCGGTTAGCTGCCCAGTTGCTTAAACTTCTTAGAGTAGTCTTACAATTTAGTCAGATACTTTTTTTTTTCTTTAAGACAGGTGATAACGTTTGTTACATCATAAGTCGTTACGTAAAACCGTAGATTAGTCCAATTTGAATCCGACAGATAACCACTAGCCTAGTTCTCAAGATGGTCTTTTATTAAGCTGCAACTGACATGGAATTTTAAAAATAATGGAAATGTATACGTTTGTGGTGGGAAAAACGAAACTTTTTGAAACTGCAAATCAGTTGCGAAGTGATTCACTGTTTTGGAATGCTTGAAACTCCGCAAGGTCATCTGCTGTATTGTAAATGCAATGAAAAACTAAAATTAGGCCTATGTGACCTTCTGTTAATATGATATGCGTTTCGAAGCACTGATTCAAAACAAATGATTCATAAAGGTTTTGAAGCTTCGCCCGTTACTAAAATAGGTATTTCTGTTTATTCTCTGCTGCTGGTCTACAATATTTAACCTGAGAGTGAATGCTCTCGTGGATATTAACACGATGTACGATTTATAAGAGAGTCGTTCTTTTGAGTCAGTTCTCTTTAATGAAGCATATTGAACTGGCTAATTCAGTGATTCAGACGGGTTTGAATCAAGATGGGTTTCATAAAAATCCTTATCCAACAATCACAAACAACAGGATGGGTCTTGAAAATGTATTGTTCAACCCTAAAGCTTGAACTGTTCTGTCAGACCAGTCATTCAGTACAGCACCAAACAAATCCACTGACTAACAATGCTTCTTTGTATTAATTTTGTAACTTTGCCCAGCATTTACAACACAAAACCAGTTCCTTGTGCTCAGCTGCCATTGTATCATCATTTACAGGGTTCATCCTGCATCCTATCATATACCAGCATTATAGAAGATCTTCAACAGCAATGCAGTACCTTCACTACCCTCATATTTGTCATAGATATTTCACTTCCAGGCAGGTAAAATTGGCCTTTATCAGTCTTGACAGTCAGCCAGTTTGTGATCAGGAGGGCTTCAAATTGGTCAGGCAGAGGTTCTCATGGCATGTCTCCGACTGTCACGTCTGACATTTTAGAGCGAGTCACTGGCATTTGTCTCTCTGGAAAGTCGTCTGTGGCACTTCATATATCATTTCAAACCAATATCATTTCAAACCACTGATAGGGAAAAGAGAAAGAGAGGAGTTTATTTATCTGTTTAGACAGATGAACATCGTTTATTGGAGTGCATCATGAATGAACAGCTTTGTTTCTGTCTGGTTGGTCAAGATGCTTGCATAATGCTTATGTTTTCTTGAAAAAAGTGTTTCAGGACTGACTTCAAATTAAATTGTTACGTGAAAGTACTATTAGTTTTTTTTTTTTCAAATATAATTTTGATTACCATAATAAATAAATTGATGAAACGGAATAAAAAATAAAAACAAATCGAAAAACAAGATTTGCAAGAGTTCTCCTTTTGTGTCTTCATGCCTTTGTTTTGCTGTGAGCCACTGTTTGCTGAAGTCCATTGGTAACTGTCTGTATTCAGCTGTAGCACATTAGTTTCAGTAGAGGGCATAATTTATCCATGATTCACCTACTGTTCTTTTAACAAAGCGCCTCTCTCTGTCCCTTGGAGTGTTCTGTGTGATAGTCCCCCCCCCACAAATCTAGCTATAACACCACTGTTTACAAGGCTTAAGGTATACTTCCTACTATGTGAAGCATGTGTGTGAAAAACAATTAAGCACAAGATTTAAACTCGGCTAATATTATTGATCACATCTGATACTGAGATCAGGAGTAAAAAAAACATCCAGTCTAAAGTTAACAGGAGAAGATGACCTTTTGGCTTTCAGAGAACTTTTATCATTGGATTTCTTTTAAGCAGCAGGCTTGTGTAATTGACAGCACAGTGTATAATGACAACGCCTTGAAAAAGTCCTGAAATTGCCCTGAGAGTTAATGAAGTCGCACAGTGTGATGAGGGAAGATTGTGGTGGAAAGGGGTCAACAGGCCTCTTCATTCCTCTCGTCCATGGAAAATGGCTGCTGTCAGCCGCCGAACATTATGGGGATCTGAATGCCCACACAGCACACACTCGCCCAGAGATTAATGATTTAAAATAGTGCCATTTGGCAGATGAGCTTCCATTGCACTGTAATGGACAAGAAACCGTGAGAAAGAAAAGTAGGCTCCTAAAACAGTTGTGTAACTAAATGTGTATTTTTATAATTTACATTTAGTCATTTAGCAGATGCTTTCATCCAAAGCGACTTACAAATGAGGACAATGGAAGCTATCAAAATCAACAAAAGAGCAATGATATGCAAGTGCTATGACAAGTCTCAGTTAGCCTAACGCAGTACACGTAGCAAAGTTTTTTTTTTTATTAAATAATATATAAAAAGAAAACAGAATAGAAAAGAATAGAGCAAGCTAGTGTTCGAGGCCTTTTTGGTTTTTGTTAATTGTATAATAAATAAAAAGAAAACAGATAGAACACAAAAAGAATAGAGAAGCTAGTGTTAGTTTTTCTTATAAAGTTAGTTAGAAATGTTAGAAATGAATACAGTGCAAGTCTAAAAGGGGCAAGTTTTTTAAAGAATAGAATTAGAATAGAGAGTGCTACAGTTAGAGGGTCAAATAAAGATGGAAGAGATGTGTTTTTAGCCGATTCAGTTGGGCAGGTCATTCCACCAGGAGGGAACATTTAATGAAAAAGTCTCTGAAAGTGATTTTGTGTCTCTTTGGGATGGCACAATAATGCTCAGTTCACTTGCAGAACGCAAACTTCTAGAGGGCATATAAGTCTGAAGTAATGAATTTAGGTAAAGGGGTGCAGAGCCAGTGGTGGTTTTGTAGGCAAACATTAATGCCTTGAACTTTATGCGAGCAGCTATTGGTAGCCAGTGCAAATTGATAAACAGAGGTGTGACGTGCATTCTTTTCGGCTTGATCATCAATCATAACTCCAAGGTTTCTGGCTGTTGATGGAGTTATGGTTAATGTGCCTAACTGGATGGTGAAATTGTGGTGAAACAATGGGATTGATTGAACCACAAGCAGTTCTGTCTTGGCAAGGTTGAGTTGAAGGTGATGGTCCTTCATCCAGCAAGAAATGTCTGTTAAACAAGCTGAGATGCGAGCAGCTATCGTCGGATCATCAGAATGGAATGAGAGATAGAGTTGAGTGCCATCAGCATAGCAGTGATATGAAAAGTCATGTTTCTAAATGACAGAACCTAGTGATGCCATGTAGACATAGAAGAGAAGTGGTCTAAGAACTGAGCCCTGAGGCACCCCAGTAGTTAGATGTTGTGACTTGGACACCTCACCTCTCCAAGATACCTGGCTTCAACAACTGAGAGCAAGGCAGTCTCGGTTGAATGTCCACTTCTGAAACCAGACTGGTTGCTGTCCAGTTGGGCTGAAACGATTAGTCGACATTATTGACAACGTGAACAATAAAAAATTGTGACATATAATTGTTGTCGAGTAGTCGTTTGATCTCATATGACCTAATGCATTGTTTTCCAACGGGTGCCCTGTAAAAAAAATCCTATTTTAATGTTTTTAAATTGCTAAAATGTTAAAAAAAGCATCTATTATATAATATATGCGTATCCCGCTCTATGCGTGTGCGCTCCGCTCAGCGCTCCACTCATTTACCGTTCATTAAAGCCCTGCACGGGCCTCAAATTTAGGCCCTAGCCCGGCCCTGGCCCTGGCCCGAGACGCTCGGGCCCTAGCCCGGCCCGTGTCCGACAGCTTATAAGAATTACCGGCCCAAGCCCGTCTTTTTTCCCCCTTCTCCCAAAACAGTTTATAGCCTACTACTGTTTCAGCTATTAAAATAGTTCAGTTTTGTATGCAATGGCAAAGTTATTATATTTCGTTTCGTTTTTTTTTTTTTAAAGTTAATTTAGAAAAACGTTTGGACTTTGGAGCATTTTTTTGTTCGTTAAATATAAGTTTTTGTTTTTTAAAGTAACGACCAAGCGGCCAGCGGCAGACAGTGAGCCTATGTTTGATCAATTTAGCCTTCTCAAATCATCACGACTTGCCTAAAATAAAATCTAGAGATATAAAACAGTTCAAGCATTACATGAATAATAATTTAATTATAATGATAAATAATTTACATGAACTATTTTCTTCAGTTATGCATCTACATAAAACACTGGCTACGTTTAGAATGGAATACTAGAAATCACTGAATACTCAGTACACTGCATAGTGCATACTATTTTTAATAGTTGAATAGTTGAATGTTGCACATTTTGGGAAATGTAATAGGTCATCTATGTATTCAGTACAGAAAATGTGCATACAGTTCAAACAGTATACATTGTATATACATACTATGCACGAATTTTAAGAGTACTATGGTAGTATGCTATTCTGAACACATCCATGACCTACCTGCTTGTGTCAGTGCTGTAGACCTGGGTGTAATGTCCAATCTTGAACAACAGATGGCAGTATCAGCCAATGCAGCAGTAATGCTTGAGCCTAAAAATTATGTCTATTCGCAAAACAGCCCAGTAAATCACAGAGAAAGCTCTAATTTTGTGTCTAACAAAACCCAAAATACACTTTCCTTAACACAAAAGTTAAAGTCCAATGGCTCGATTTTTACTTCTCTTACACTTTATGGTCAGAGATATCCATTCAGCTGTTATAAAATAAAGCTCAGAATTAGAGAAATTATTAAACAGACCCATTTACATTAAGTTATCATATGCAGAGTTATTTATTATGTTTTTTTATTTTTTATTTTATTTTAGTAGTAGCACATTTGCTGGTGCTAGTGAACAGCTATGCTCTCGACCATATAATACAGAAGACTTTATTTTATTTTTTTAATTTTATTTTACTAT